AAACTGCAAGGACTCGTCCAGGCAGTCACTGCAGGGTCAGCAATGACTGAGTGCAGACAAAAAAAAAAAAAAAAGCAACAATTATTACTTCCATAAAATGTGTGATCTTCCTCCTTATTGCTGTGCTCCATTTTTCACAATCCGCAGCACATCTTTCACAAACAACCATAGTATTCTAGCAACATTTGAGCATATCAATTATTCTTAGTCATGGAATGCAGACGGACATAGAGTTGTCTCAACTGATTTCAAGAGTTTTTTGTTTTTGTTGTTTTGTCAGTCTGACTTTCAGATTAGTCATCTGCCCGTGCAAATGTCATTGTCTTTCAAACAGGAAACACTACTCCTTTTGGTGAAACTACCATCATTCCTACTACTATAAACCAGAAATACTTGTAGCAGTTTTCTCTACTAGTAATATATTAGGGGCAAAGTAGGTTATTTTATATAATTTCTATAATGTTTATTTCCATGTGACTGTATAGATTAAATTAGGGTAGATACTCCTTGGGTAAGATGGGAGAAAAAAAATATATAGCAGAATTATTCTTCTGCTTTGATAGGTGAGCTGGTCAGCACAAATGAAGTCTGATGTCCCTTTGCCTAAATTGGTTTAGAACAGCTACTCGTATAGCAATGGACAATTGAGGCATGCCTGCTACATCAGTTGTAAAAAGAGTCATGATACATGTCTTATTTATAACCTGTTCCTTCAAAAAGGTACACCAAAATAACAGTCCTTCCCCCCAATTTTTAAAGATTAAGTAATACAGTATGCCTTTAACAATTGATGCGATATGTATGTCATTTAATTTTTTATTTTGATAGGCTTGTCAGAATAGAAACACTGTATAAGAAGCTGCTCTTTGACTCCTATATGATTTTTTTAAAAGCAAAGCAAAACGTACGTGTTGTGCCCTCGTATTTATCTTGTTTGGGAACTCAGAATTTTTTTTAAAAATACTGCAGCTAATTGTATGTAAAATTCTTGTGGTGCTATAGAAATGGGATTCCTACATCAGTATACAACTGAAATGAAAAATAAATACATTTTCCTTCAGCTGTAATTCGGTTTCCTGAAGAACTACTACATTCAGAGTAACAAATCACTTGCATCCACAAGGTATCTCAGTTTGAATGCAGCATTACCATAACAGAATAATAACCCAGTGTTGGAATGAATTCACACCTGAATCATCTGTGCTTTATTGAAGAAGGTAGTTAAAATCAATCTAACTGCTTTCTTTCTCTCTCTCTCTCTCTCTCTCTCTCTTTTTCTAGTCCATGAGTTTAATTGAGATTGGCAACCCCTCTCAAAGTTTAGAGAATGTGTGTCGTTGGGCCTACCTACAACAAAAACCTGATACTGCACATGCAGAGTATCATGATCATGCAATTTTTCTCACAAGACAGGACTTTGGGCCTTCTGGAATGCAAGGTAAGTTCTCTGCTGCCAATCACCCCATCTTACCTGTACTGTTAACCAGGTCATTCAGTGAAAAAAAATCCTCAATGATTAAAATGTTGCTGTTGAGCATAGAGGAACAATTTACATTCCATAGATCATATGCAGGCCTCCACTATTCTCCCACTGAGCTCCTGGAGTTGCTTTGCCTAGACCTCTCCACATTCAGCCAAAGAGCCATAAAAGCACTCTCTGAGACAGGGTAAGTTCTGCCCTTCTCCACTGCAGCAGGTAACACTTTTGAATGTTAAAATCCCATTGGCTGTCACCAATTTACTCTTATCTTTAAATGGCCTCTCTGTCCCAGGTCTCATGTTCAAGAAGGGAGTTTAAGATAAGGAATGGTTTGCCTACATCAGCCGTCTTAACCTGGGCACCCCTTAAAATGTTTTGCAGTGAACATGCTGACTGGGGAATTCTTGGAGTTGACTTCTGCATCTGAAAGATGCCTAAGTTGGAAGAGGGTATCCTATATGGATATGAGGGCCTACTAACTTTAACCTATCAGCTCAGTCCGTTCTTGAAGGCAGAATGATGTGTGTGTCCCCCCCACCCCGCCTTAAAAGGAATATTTAGCCCATATCTGTTTCTCTCTAATTGGCCTGTGTCAAATTGTTTCAGATTAACTCTTCAGTTTCAGAATATTTTTCCTCTTAACAAAGCCAAAATAATCTAACAAATTAACAGCTTTGCCAAATACAGTGCAACTATTTTAGGACACAGATCTTAAATGTTTTAGTTGGAAAGCATAGTAATTTCTTGAAATATAATTCTGACTAAAGAACTTATTTCATATACAGGAATTTTTTTAGCAGTGCTATGGTGCCCACTTATTTCTCCAAAGAATATAAAAACAAAAAGGAAATAAAACACCATGACTGAAAAGTACAATTCAATTTTCTTTCTTCTTCAGCTAAATTCATGGTAGGCTTAGTTGATCAAAAATTAGCAGGGAATTCATTTAGAATTGGGTGCTAGGCAACCTGTTGTTTCAGTAAACTAATGGCCATTCACACAAGTTGTGTTCAAAATTGTGTACATTTCCCTGAATGCATGTTGTCCTCATTTAGTATTGTGATTTAATTTCACTCACACAAGTTTTTTTGTTTTCTTGTAACTTAACCACTTGCATAAGAATGATTAGATCAGTCTATTCTAATAGCGGCCTGCAGCATCTACAAGTTTTATTTTAACCCTGAGCATAAGGAAATTGCTTCATTCTGCTGACTTACATAAGCTGGTGGTTGTTTGGGCAATGAAAGGTATATATTCTGGTTGATTAACAGTCCTGGAGATGGAGGCAAATTAACAGCCATAATGATAATAATAGTAATGAAGTAACTGCTGAAGAAAGGATCAGGGTTAGAATGAGTAATTTAGTACAGATGCAAGTCTTTAGGAGAATAACTTGATTATTATTCAAAGAATAAGATTTCTTTGGAAGAATGTGGGTTGGTTGGAAGATTAGGAAGTATTCTAGCCACAGAAAAGTCCTTTAGTCCATTGATGCTCTTCAGTATTATTCCTGCTCAGATACGTAGGAACTAAGAGCAGAGAACAGAATATTCCAAAGTCAAAGAAGTCTTCCCTGTAAGCAGAAGGTCAATCACTAAACCCTGTTTCTTTCCCATGTCTTGGTCCCACCTTGGTGTTTTCCATATTAGAATGGTGATGATTTTTTTTAGGTACTTTTTGTGATATGCCATATCACAGATTATTCTCAAACCTTCTGTTCTGCTTATTTTGGACAGAGTCCTGATTCACTCTGGCAGCAAACCTCTCCAAAACAGTTTGCTTTGATTTGGGAAGATCTGATGCACATTCCTAAATTCTGATTAGATTCAGTTTTGTATATGTTCATTTTATAGCCTGTTCCATCCTATTTCCTATTATTTTTCAACTGTACACATTTCTTCCTAAAATATTTGTGGTTGTTCCATATTTCTGTAAAATATTTTTTATATAAACTTTCCCTAAAACATACCTTTGGTAAAGATTTTTCCTAAAAAGGACTCAGCTCATTACACGTTCATATTCAAAACAGTACAGTTTCCTGCGTGTGTATTTTGTCTGAACATGGCCTTCATATATCGATTCATTAGAATACAAGGAACTCTGAAATCTTTTGTGCACAAGGCTTATTCAAGCAAGTAAGTTCAAGTGAAGAGTGAATGAAATATATTCAAGTGAACAAATTTTAATCTGAGCACAGCATCCATTCACTGTAATGAATCACATTTTCCCTTTTGCATTTCTTTTTATTTAGGTAAGACTTCTGTTGCAAAGTCACTGGAGACTGGTGTTCTTAAATAGTTATTGGAGCTTCATTTTCTTTTCTTCATTAGAGTCTTACCTTCTCCCTAATAGGCTATGCTCCAGTTACTGGCATGTGTCATCCAGTTCGAAGCTGCACGCTTAATCATGAAGATGGCTTCTCCTCAGCATTTGTTGTAGCCCATGAAACTGGACATGTGTAAGTCACACTTCCATATACTTGCCATGATCCAGTGTATTATATGACTGGGGGGATGTGATTTCAGTCATTTCAGTGGAGAGAGTCAGCACTCACAAGCAAAGGGGTGCAGTTGCAGCCTGGCTTATTTCACTTAAATATACAGAGAGTCTTCTTCAGGAAGAAAAAAAATTGATTCATAGAGTCTTAGAATATAGGAGTTGGAATGGAACTTAAGTGTTGTCAAGGCCAACAGTTCAGGAATTCACTAAATTATATTTAACAGATGACCATCCATCCCCTGTTCGAAAACCTCCAGTGTTGAACAGTCCATAGCCCCTGCCCTCGCCGGGTTATGATTTAGGCATAAAATATAGTTTCCTATTTTTGTTGTCCATTATTGCTTTATGTGTGCTGTTTACTCTCATTACGTTTTAGTGAACTGATTTTCAAATAGCATCTAATCAAATCACGGGCATGATCCCTGGGGTTACAGCCTGGGTTTGCGGAAAGATTGTCACAGGGCTTAGAACCCTTCCTCCTCTTCTTCTTACTCATGAGTCGTATCTGAGGTAGGGAGAGCTCTATACACTGGACTTAATGTTCACAGGACTAGATTCTTACATAGATACAAATGATTCAAGCTCTGAAGTTCAGTAACTTTGCCCAGCCAAAATGGATGAGGTGATAATAGGGTGCCTTGGTGGCCCTATGCATGTGCACGGAGGTTGAGGAAAGAAACTGCTTTACTCAGTCCTGTAAAAATAACTCTCCAGTACTTGCTGACTTTTTCATGATCCACATTTGAATTCTTCTCCAGCCAACAATGGCATCATAAAATATTTTATTGTGGAGAAAGGAACAGAGTAGAGGTAAACCTTGCATTGTTGGAAGAAATGTGTTGTGTAGAAAATAGTTGTAACTTCTTTTTTTTTCTTTCTCACAAAGACACAGGATCACAACTGCACAAGGGAGAAAAGAGGGGTGTGAGTCCATCACTTCTGTCATATTCCTGATATTGTTTTCCATTTGGGAATATGAAGATTTGCAGCAGGGCACACTCTCTCCTTGTGAAGGCTCCCCCATATGTGTGTGTGTACACACACACACACACACATACACACACACACACATATACTTAATTCTGGAAAAGAAGGAAGCTAAATCAGTGTTTTTCAAACTTGGCAACTTTAAGATGCGTGGACTTCAATTCCCAGAATTCTGGGACTTGTTTGTGTGTGTGTTTGTGTAAAAGATTTATATGGCAGCCCTTCTTACACAACTTTGGGCAGCTCACAACAACACAATCGATGTCCACACATCTTAAAGTTGCCAAATTTGAAAAACATTGATCTAAATAGAGCTGGGAGCGTCCACAGATTGACCCTTGCTGCAGAAATTCTCTTCTGGTAATGGGAAGGAAGGGGAGCCACGGACTCACCCTATTTTCCCCCTTGTTTAACGATAATCAGGTAGCGGAGGGTAGGCTGTCTGGTAGGATACCAGTAATTATGGCAGTTTCCCCTCACACTGTGCTGCCCTCCTTTTCAAGAGGGTAGGCAGGGATGACCAGTGGCTTGTCTTTAAAACAGGTCTGCACTTGCATGCATAAGATTAAGCTCAATTCATGGCAAACTGCCAGGGTTTCGTAAAACCCTGTAGTTATGCTTTATGCAAAAAAGGGGTTGTTAAGCACTAAGCAGTAAGGAGTTGATGGACTCTGGTGGATCATATTTTGCAGGAATTGTATTTTTTTATTTGCTTGACGTGGAAAGGTCCTGTGATCGCAGCTTACCAAATTGCTTATCTTGCACAGTATTTACAGTATCTGCACAGTTCTTGAGAACCTGAACCTGACATTCTCAGGCAGGAAGTGTCTCATTTTTATTGTACTTTAGGGTTTGCTTTTTTGTTTTCTGAAATGAAAAAACTTCAGTGTCGCAAGAAGATAAAAACTCCCAGAAGTATATTTCTCTCAACACATTCTATTCTGTTTCCTGGGATAGCCACTAGGCACTGTTCTGTTTCTTATTTTATGAACTGGTTGCTTCCTGTCCTCTTAAAACCCTGATTTATTAGGATTCTTGAGATTGTACCTGTACATGATTTGTCCTCTTTTTCCTCAAGCATTTGCATTATTAATGTCTGAAAAGTGAAGTAAGCAGAACAAGGTAAAAAGGGAAGGGTCATTTCCCTGAAGGTCGGATGAAGTACAGTGGTACCTCTAGTTACGAACGCCCCTCCTTACGAATTTTTCAAGATACAACCAG